TAACCTGGGACAGTGGTGTAACAGTTCTTTTTTATATATATTTTGAAAAAAGATGCATTTTTTGAATATGTAAACTTTATTAAAAGTTATATATTTGGTTTGATATTTTTGAACTTTTTTTTTTGCTCACTGTTGAATATATGTATAACTTATTTGAGATGACCAGCAGCTGTCTATGAATATTTTTGTTTGTTTCAGATGTTACGAAGAAGATGTTTACATCACAGACCCTGAAAAAGACTCCATTGAAGCACAGCAGGATAAGCAACATTGAGATATGTATACTTTATTTAAGTTAAAACTATATTTCATTAAAATATAAACTAATCTTATGATTTTTTTTCTTTTCGTAGCAGTTTCTTTTCGTTACAGTAGCTGAGGCCAGAGGATATTAGTCATGGACCATGAAGATGGATGGTTTCATTGTAGATGACAGATATGTAGCATGTAGGTATTTGGTCATTTCAATTGTACTTTAAAACTATGTTTATATTTGTTTGGTAATAAAAATCAGTTTTTCCCTAGAAAAACAGCTTGAAATTTCACTACAAATTGTACTAAAATTTCTTATTCAAATTTATACTTTGATGAAATAAATTTTAATAAGAATGTATTGTAATTGGCTGCCATTAATATAAAAATAAGGAGATGTGGTATGATTGCCAATGAGACAACTATCCTATAAAGTTCAAATGAAGCGGATGTAAGCAGTTATAGGCAACCGTACAGCCTTCAACAATGAGAAAAACCCATACCATATGGGCGATTTTAAAAGGCCCTCTCATAAAAAAATATGAAACCATTCAATTGAGAAAAACTAACGGCCTAATTTATAACAAAACAATTTACGAAAAACAAATATGATAGACATGAACCAACAGACATGAACCAACGACAACCACTGAACTACAGGCTCCTGACTTCGTACAACAAAATAAAGAATGTGGCGGGGTTAATGGATATAAGAAGATGTGGTATGAGTGCCAATGAGACCACTCTCCATCCAAGTCAAAATTTATAAAAGTAAACCATTAAACATGTTTGTGAGCGCTCAACCCTGACCCTAACCTGGGACAGTGGTGTAACAGTTCTTTTTTTATATATATTTTGAAAAAGGATGCATTTTTTGAATATGTAAACTTTATTAAAAGATATATATTTGGTTTGATATTTTTGAACTTTTTTTTTTGGCTCACTGTTGAATATATATATAACTTATTTGAGATGACCAGCAGCTGTCTATGAATATTTTTGTTTGTTTCAGATGTTACGAAGAAGATGTTTACATCACAGACCCTGAAAAAGACTCCATTGAAGCACAGCAGGATAAGCAACATTGAGATATGTATACTTTATTTAAGTTAAAACTATATTTCATTAAAATATAAACTAATCTTATGATTTTTTTTTCTTTTCGTAGCAGTTTCTTTTCGTTACAGTAGCTGAGGCCAGAGGATATTAGTCATGGACCATGCAGATGGATGGTTTCATTGTAGATGACATATATGTAGCATGTAGGTATTTGGTCATTTCAATTGTACTTTAAAACTATGTTTATATTTGTTTGGTAATAAAAATCAGTTTTTCCCTAGAAAAACAGCTTGAAATTTCACTACAAATTGTACTAAAATTTCTTATTCAAATTTATTCTTTAATGAAATATATTTTAATAAGAATGTATTGTAATTGGCTGCCATTAATATAAAAATAAGGAGATGTGGTATGATTGCCAATGAGACAACTATCCACCCAAGTTCAAATGAAGTGGATGTAAGCAATTATAGGCAACCTTACGGCCATTACCAATGAGAAAAACCCATACCATATTTGTTTGGTGATAAAAATCAGTTTCCCCTGGAAAAAAAACAGCTTAAAATTTCAGTACAAATTGTACCAAAATTTTTTATTCAAATTTATACTCTAATTAAATATATTTTAATAAGAATTTATTGTGATCGGAAATATACTTGCCCTCTTAATTTAGGATTTGACACATAACATGCATCACGTTAATTCCTGAGTTAATTATAAGAGCAAATAGTTTCTTAACATTGACAATCTGGATAATTACACATTTATATTTTCATCTATGTGCAGAGTGAAGATTGAAAAACCAAATAAAGCAGCAAAGATAGCAGTTCCATGGAAGATGTTTACTTAGATGTTCAACCAAGTCTGAGGACTGCCAGGAAAGGAACCAAGCAGCAAGGATAGCCGCTCCAAGGAAGATTATTAGATTGATCTTCACCCCCAAGTCTGAGGCTTTGACATGAAAGAAATAATGCAAGTATATTTAAGCCAAACATTTTCTGTACATTATCTAGAAAAATGTGATAAAGTACATAAGACAACACACATTTTTCTTATTTTGCACATTTACAACACACAAAAAAAAAATAACATCAATTTGATAAATGTTTTCCAGGTACACGAATAAAATTTTATACCATGAAAAGTAAATCCCGTGATAGAATTTTGTCCTTCAAGGGGAAACTAGTACAATAAACTGCAAGAATACTTCTTTCAATGAGGATAACTCAAGATTATACACATTTTTTTGTTTTTTCCAGGTTTTTATATTTAACATACTATATCACAAAATATTAACTTCACTGACCACCGCGCACGGAAGTAGTCAAGAAGACATTATTATTTTTTTCAGGGGTTGACAGGATACACGTAATCGTTATAAATTTTAACTTCACAGTTCTTATGCAAGCAAATTTAATAAGCAATGATGTTATACAGTTGGTTTTTTTTTGTTTTCACCTTACATGGGGCTTTATTTCTGATCTTATTTCTGTGTACACAATTCTAAATCTACATATTTCACCTTTATCAATATTAGGAAATCCGTTTGGACGATTCCATATATACCATTTATATGTTTTAGGGGTTTTTAGCTTCAGTGTCGAGTTGGTGTATAGTATTAAGGGTTGTCTGCGAGAAATATTCATTTTTCTGATAGATTAACTAAATTAAAAACCAATATAAATATAGTTAACATATATATTTTATTTAACTGAGTAAATTGATCGGAATTTGAATGATACATAGACCTAAAATTCTTTTTGGTCTATCCCAGTCGTGACATTTGCGCGGGAATTTCTTCCATTGACATCGTAATTTAATTTACTTTGGATTATTGTTATCTTTAGATGTAACTGATATTATTTGTCTCTTCTTCTAAAGTACATAGTTTGGCGTCAGGTTTGTACACATGAAGTCTCTAGTCTAGTCAGATATGAAGTACTCATTTTCAATTTTATTCTGCATATCCGACCCCTTGCCTACGTCACCCTTCTCAGTCGCTTAGTAATTCTCGTATCACTGCTTTGAGACAAAAATGTCTCTTCTTCTATAGTACATAGTTTGACGTCAGGTATGTGCACCTAAAGTATATATATAAAAAGAAGATGTGGTATGATTGCCAATGAGACAACTCTCCACAAGAGACCAAATGACACAGAAAATACAGTAAAAGAAATAGTACAATAATCATGATAATGGAATATGTAGACAGCTCTCTCACAAGCAAAAAACCACTAACTGTAAAAATATAAGGGCATACACTCTAGTCTAGTCAGATCTGAAGTATACATGTACTTATTCTCAATTTTATTCTGCATATCCCACTGTCACGGAATAGAAGTTCCTTCATAATATCAGTTCCAAATGGAAACAATATTCTGGAATATTATTTCCACTGGAATAAATATTACAGTAAATGGTATAGAATATTTGTTCCAACAGGAACAGATATTATGACATTGTTTATAACAAAGTTTCGTACGTCATACATTTGTCATATGAATTCTTACTATGTATGCCTTTTCAATGGAAATTGTGATGCCACAATGCATTCTTAATAGCAGGAAAACCCATGAAAAGAGGATATATACTGTATACATATGTCAACCAAAATTTTTCTGCGACGTCATAATGTGCGACGAGACCCTATCATGCTTGAGTTCATATAGCGATAAAACAGTTTTAGGGAGGTGAAAAATACCAGCAATAAAACGATAAACAGATGATCGATATTGTAAAATATCAATGTGTAGTAAAGCCAACGATCTACATGTATACATAATTTATATATCAACCAAAAAATACAACTGATTTACACCACAACTGTTGAAAAGACCTTAATGTATATATATCTAATCTAATGTTCTAGTTCGTTCAACTGACAAAATCTGTTTATATTTCATGAACTCTTAACAAGAATCCTCATGTTCTATTCTTTATACCAATATCTGTAAGCCATTTTTGTTCCCAACCTGTTTATTAGTGGAATTGTGAATCAGGCCATTACTCCTCAATTGTATTGATGCATACTTTTCATGTTGGGACAGTTTTCCTCATTTTTGAAGGCTGTATGCATGGTTGCCTATAATTAGGGCCCCGCCCTATAGTGATCAGTCTGTCCGTCAGTCCGTAACAAATTGTGTCCGCTCTATATCTAGAGAACCGTTATGATTTCAAAGTTTATACTTGACATGTATATTAACCAACACCAGAGGGTGTGTCAAAATGTATATATAACTTCCTAGGTCAAAGGTCAAGGTCAAAAACTTTGGATTTAGTTGACAACCCCATGTCCTATGGTAAAGATCGTGTCCGCTCTATATCTTGAGAACCATTATGATTTCAAAGTTTATACTTGACATGTATATAAACCAACACCAGAGAATGTGTCATAATTCATGTACAACTTCCTAGGTCAAAGGTCAATGTCAAAAACTTTGGTTTCAGTTGACAACCCCATGTCCAATGATAAAGATACAATTTTTTTACCACACATTTTTAACAGCGGGGCCCACAAAGATGGCTTCCATCTCAATGATATCTAGTTATTAAACAATTTTTTTTTTTCTATACTATTATGCAATCAGAATACAGAATAAATTTTTAAAAATTTAGTTTGGCAATTTAACAGATTTGTAAAATATATAATTTGTGTCAATTTTAATTCCTTTTTAGGTTATTTTAGTGCAAATGTTTTTATGGATTGGGAGTAAGACTTGGTGGTATAATATTTCTAATATACAAGTAGGTATATAATTCCTCTATTTAAACAAATTTTATTATCATAAAATAAGTTTATAGGAAATAAAATGTGCACTAGGCTTAAAGATGTAAGAGGTGTGATATTTTTATTCACAAGAAAAATGGATTAATACACAGCATGTTGACATGTATCATTGCACATGCATTACCTGTCCTTTATTGCCGATTGGGTATTTTAGTTCAGCTTATATCTATTAATAACAACCAATGATATAAGGAATTCCCTACTGGCCACATCTCGCTCTCTAATTGCTTTGTGAGATGTGGGAAGGGAACCAATCAGAACAAGGCCCTTATTTCAAATTATCCAATCGGCAGAGATAATTAATGAATTATCCTCCTTTTGTTTTAATTACTGAGCGCCTCATTTAGGCATTCTAGATAATACAACTGCATGAAGCAGACGCATTGCAATTTGGCATTAGCGAATTTAAAATCCCATCCTCGCCCACCCTATTTTATTTTTAATTTTTATTGAGATATTTAGGTTGCTTCAACTAATTATAGAAATATAATTGATTTAATTTAACTGTATATTTTATAAATGTGTAGAGTAGATTATATTACAAGAACACACAGTTTTGGTTTCATATTATAAATGTAATATTCCCTTGAGTGGAATACCACAGATTATTAATTTATTAATTTGTGTATTGTTTTCAAACTGTACTGTTTGTGTTTTATTAATATGAAATTTAAGCATTAAGAGGTCAAATGTTTTTTTCTTTGTCCCCATATGAATGTTTAAAAGATTTGAATTGATTACATAGATGTCATATTTGTTTGTGTTGTTGGGATTTTGTCACATTGATGTGTTCCCTGCATCTTCTATTACCTTGATATGTTATATATCACCTATTTCTATACAATGTACATAAGTATACCAACAATGAATCTTTTTTTTAACTATTTTGAATAACTAAGCATTTTATATTTCAGGTTAGCATTACAGCTTGTCCTTACAGATTGATGTTGGAAATGGCTATTGGAGTTGACTTTTAAAGGTAAGAAAGAACTATTATATAGATTCATAAACTTTTTTTTTAAAGATCATGTAAATTCCCAGGATTTTTCATAATTTTTATAAATATATTACAATTTAATGTTTTCTGGAAGGACATGTCAAGTTTTAGGAAGGCAAAAATGATTACTTTGGAAGTTTCATTCTTTTTCTAACCTTTAATTGTAATTCCCAGTTTTCTAATTGTTGCCTATTTCAGTTTCTTAAAATATGACAGAAAAATTGAAAAGTGTCTATTTCTTTTTCAGATAACAAATACTGTGGCTGCAGGAAATAATTGTGTGATAAATTCTCGTACCAAGTTTTTGCAAGGATTCTAAATGTGTAGACAGCATGTCACTCTCTCTCAACATAAGGCATCTGATTTAGCGTCCCCATTCTGACTGGATATGGCTGCGAATACATATATCCTGCACTACAAAACAGATGCTCAACTTTTGCAAGAGCTTTACTTCCAGGCTGAAGATGACCAAGAGTGACCATAATTCTATTCCCAAGTCACCCTTTGAGGTCTTTCGAAATGGACAGAAAGGTTTCCAATATAAATGGTTCATATAACTCTTGTAAAAACCAGTTAAAGAATGTATTTGATAAATTGTAATATTTTTAATGCAAAGATTCTCCATTTTCAACAAGAGTGGAGGTTCTATTTACGGGTTATCTTGTGTTTTGAATTTTTGCCAAACTTTCTTTTTCTCGCTACCATTAAATGCCATCAAATTTTTTTACTTGTGGACCTTAACTTTTGTCTAATAGATATAATGGTTCTTATCTAGTAATCATTTCCATTAGTTAAGAATGGAGAATCTAAAAGTAAAAAAAATATTGTAAATAATTATAGTATAGCAATGGTTTTTATATGAAAATTAAAAATATTTTGTCAAAATTGGATAAATTCAAGAGATTACATGTAGAAATGTTTATGTTTAAGTATTCTTAATTTACTAGCAGTCACAGACATGTCTCTTGACTAAATGTCAAGCCTATTGCTCAGTTGTAATGAATGATAAGTCTTACAGTGTCAAGGGGAGGTAATACCCCTGTTTATCTCCACTTACTTGAATTTTCTCCAGTGTTGGCCAGTATAACTAGACATTTTTTCTTTATTTTTTAATATTTAATTGGTAAACAGACTAAGCATGGTTATGGGCTTTTTCTGTTAACATTGACAATATCATGCAGTTCAAGGTTCAAGTTTCTCAAATATCAGTAAATTTGTCAAACCTTCATGGAATTTATGAACATAAAAGCAGAAGATTTTTTTTAAATCCAAAGATAGTATCAAAAGCAAAACTTGGAATTCAATTTTTTTGTATCTTAATCTTGGGTTTAAGAATTTGAGACATCAATAGCTTTATAGAATTTTAGGAAACCTTAACAGAAGCTTTTGATAAAGACAAAATGTCTGAAGTAATATAGGAAAATTAAGTATTTTACTGAAAAATGCACTTATTTTCGTTTTGCATTTAAGATTTACATTTAGCCTCTGATTATGTTTTTTAAGACATCAATAACTGCTTGAAACCTCCCTTGAATGTTGGGAAACATGAACATGAATATCTTCATGATCAAGAAAAACATTTCATTTTTATATTTTTATCTTTCCATATTTTATTGGTAAATTGATTTGGTTTTTTACCGCAAACTTTAAACTGAAAGCAGCAACACAGGCATCCTCCAATTTTTTTATTGCTGTTTTTACCAGTTATGTATATGTGTTCATTATTTCTACTTGCATCATATTATTGTTTTTTGATTGATGATAAGTAAAACTGTAAAATTATTGTAATTTGAGCAGTACAAGAGTACTGGATTTGTTTTACAAAATATCCATTAGACTTGTAACTGCTTTCATACATTGAGTTACGCTCTGTATCTTTGGCTGACATTTGTCATGTCCTAAAAACAAGTCAAATATTGATGGAAGCACCTTACTTTCAGGGAATGTCAAAAAATACTTTCTGTAAAACAATAATTTGTATAATGTAAAATTGTTTATATCAAAAAGGTTGACTCATTAGGTCTGGCAACACAGTTATCATCCTTTGATTTTTGTTGTCTTCAAAAAGAGTCCCTAATGTGGACAGTGTATGACTTGCAAATTGTTTTCATACACCTTCCAAGTTTATTTCTTTATATTTTATGCATAAAATAGTAAGTAGGTGAATGAATTACATGTAAAAAAAATATTTGGGGCATGAATTTTTATGTAAAGTAGTGATTTTGTCCAGTTTTGAAAAGGTCAAAAATTAGTATGTCTGAAGCTGTCAATTTGAATTACAGACCCCTTAACTTATAATTGTCCATATTTTGAGTTGGAGCTAATACACTTTTCTATAATTTTTATATGATTTTTTACAAAATTAGTACACTACACTGTAAATTTCTTTTTTGGATAAAGCAGGTTTTTAATTTAGTGTTTTTTTGTCTGAAAGAAATTCACTACAAAATAACTGTTCTTTGACCATTATTTCAGAATCTAATGCATTCTGGTTATCATTTTATCATTTGTTCTGAAAACATACAAAAGAGAAATATTTGATACATCTATTTTCTTTTTAATATATGTTTAGGTTACATGTTGATATGATAAAAAGAAAAAAAGATTTCTGCTACTACAAATTTTAAAACTTTCTTTTCATACATTTATATTGTCCTTGAAAATTAATTTAGTTTTTTATTCATGAAATGTACATAAAAAAGAAAAATCTGACACCTATAACACCGCCCTTAATTGTTAATAAAAGCCCTTGACGACCTACATTACTTGTTGATCTTGAAAATGCATTACTTCCAAAAATTTCATTTTTTGTGTGTGTTATCTAGGATAATATTAGTCTTCAACCCCAAAATTTTTAGTCTGCCCTTACATAAACTTTTTGAATAGGATTTTTCTAGTGTTTTTGAAGTTTACCAAAGGCAATGAATTACATTAGATAATGCTTAATAACTACTAGATACGTTTTTCTTTTAAAATACAACTGGCATGTAAGGATTACATATTAAATATGCTATATGAATAAATTTATCAGTTTTCAAGAGCAAACTTGACAGCATGTCATCCTTGTCATCCTTATAAAGCAAAATAACGATTTCTGGCTAATCTATGTATTTTTCAAGATATTAGAAATGGGATAGATAAATTGATAAGATACTAGGTAGTAAACTGTATCAGAGGAAAATTGCTGATCACCATATAACTATAGTCTATATTAAATTTTTACTGTTTTTTTTATTCTTGTGTTCAAGGGATAGGATTCATTTACCCACTGTAAGAACCAGTATTCTGTGAAGGACTTTGTCTTTAAGCATTTCTCCTCATCTTTGATAACATTGCATGTATTTAGGCATATCTAAAAAAAAAAAGGGGGTGGGGAGCATGTTTTTGCTGACTTCAAGAGAATTTTTTGTATTTATTGCATCATGTTGCCAAAATACCCATAAAATATTAAAATTAGGTAAAAAATCAGAGCCTATACATTTTTCTTCTTAGTACTGTCAAATTGCATATTCTGTACACGGTTCATATAGAACGCACAACAGCTATGATAAAATCTGTTTTTATATATTCGTGACAAAAACATATAAGTTGAACAGTTATCAAATCATCAGCAAGTCTCAAGTCTTTAATAGGTCTAAATCTACCTCAATTAATCAAACACCTCATTTTATACCTAGCCAAACAGTCAAATATATAAGGGGAGGGTTGAGATCTCGTAAAACATGTTTAACCCCGCCGCATTTTTGCCCCTGTTCCAAGTCAGGAGCCTCTGGCCTTTGTTAGTCTTGTATGTTTTTAATTTTAGTTCATTTATATGTTTTGGAGTTTAGTGTGACGTCCAATTTCACTGAACTAGTACACAATTTTATTTAGGGGCCAGTTGAGGACGACCTCCAGGTGCCGGATTGTCTCGCTGCGTTGAAGACCCATTGGTGGCCTTCGGCTGTTGTCTGCTCTTTGGTTGGGTTGTTGTCTCGTTGACATATTCCCCATTTCCATTCTCAATTTTAAAATATACTGGTTAATGCCCCCAAGTAATGTTTTCTGTAAATGGGGGTACATGTAAAGAAAGTCTACAAAAAAGTGTAAATTTTGAAAGTTATTGTAATTTAAGAACAAATGGGGGGTTTCCCAATGTTTATATGTTGTTAACTTGATATTTTGAGGAACATTTTTATGCATATCATTCTTATGTAACCTCGATATAAAGTAAATTCATAGTTTCTGATTTTTGCTGAAAATATTCGCATAAATTTACTTCAAGTAGAAAAATAACTGCATATTAGTTTTTATTATTTGTGTGTTTGTGTTTAATAGTTTTCTTGTTCATCAGATTTTTTAAAGGCAAATTTTTTTTATCTTTTGAATAATTTTTTTAAACCCCTCAAAAATGATGCTAAACTTACCTGTAAAACAATTTTTTTCTTTCTATAATTCGTAATGATCTGTTATAGGGGATAATGTCTATTTATTTGTCCATCATTATCTCCCATTCAAATCTCCAATATGATGTAATCCTTAAAAGTGGATGCCTCGGGTATAAATGCAAAGTTGGTTACATAAAAACACAGAATTTAATGTTTCCGACAACACTTTAGGAATTGCTGCAATAATTTAATAAGATAGACATGTTTTGGTTTCTATGGCACCTTCATCAGTATTAAAATTACAGAAGAGTACAAATTCCCCAAGTGATGATTTGCACTGCACAATTTGTCACCATAAAAAGAAATTATAAATAGAGAGTGAAAGTAGGTATGAAAGTAAACTGGATCAAGAATGTTAAATAAAATATGATTTTGCAACTTTGGGTGACAATTTATTGCAATTATGTTCCATTTCAACAACAGAAATAGGACAGACTTGCAATTCCGTACAACACAGGAAGTAGTACGGTTTGTCCGAGCGAAGCCAATTGGAAGCATGTAACTCTTAGTGAAGCTAATTGGAAGCTAGTACCGTCTGTCGTTGCGAAGCCAATTGAGAGCTGTATCTCTGTCGAGTATAGCTAATTGATTGGAAGCACGTAGCACTGGCAGACCGAAGCCGATTAGAAGCATGTAACTATGGGTGAAGCCAACTTGGAAGCAGTAACCTCTGGAAAGTAAAGTTAAAACTATTATTGATATGCAAATTTTATTTAACATTCTTTTTAAAGTTTACTTTCAAATCAACCATTATTTTCTATTCATAATTACTCACCCTGTTGACATTGTAACGGGCAAATTATCACTTCACAACATTCAACAATTTTTGTAATCACAAAATCTCCAAAAATATAGGTAGGAGGCCAATCAAGTTTTGTGCAGTAGTTGTACATCTTATGTCAATGTGCATATACTTTTTGGTGAAAATTGGCCCATTGATTTTTGAAAAACTTATTTTTTGTGTTAAGAAATCAAATATTTTGAGAAACATTTTTTTGTGATGGATTTAAATGAAAACCAATTCA